ACTGTTACTACTTCAATTTCTCAACAATGGCTCACCTCTATTATAAAAATTCTATTTTCTGTGACGACAGTAAGCTTGAATGTGTTTGTGTGTACAGCAGATCCACTTAGCAGCACAGTGTAAGCAGCAGATATCTCAGTAAATTAACCAGCACATGCACGCACATTCGTGCACATAAACAGGGTTTTAATAGGGAAATAATGTCTGGTATGTCCTAGGGTGAGATGTGGTTGCCCCTGGTGATAGATGTAGTTTTTATACTATCATGTTGTGCTTTCTGCAACTGGACTGTCACTCTGTTCTGCTGACTGCTGCAGAACTCTGATTCAGTGCATTTCTATGATGTGATCTTTATCCTGGTCCTTCTCAGAAATGCTAGCAATGCATGAAGGAATTCAATCCCAAAGGCCTTACAGTCTGTTTAGATCTGCAGATTGCATAATATTAGTCTTTGCTGTCTTCTCTGAGAATGTAGAATTTCTCGAGCTGTGTTTCATCGCATACGCGTTTTGTTCCGTATATGTAACAGTAGTCAGAAAAGCAGTGAAGGAAAACATGCTTTGTACTAGAATGTCATTTATTGCACACTGTGGCAAAAATGGTGCATGCATCTCCGTGAACGTGCTGTACTGGTGATAAACCTTCATTTCATTAAGTGAAATGCACCATGTGCTGCAGAATACTGCTGTTCTTTGAATATGAATACTCCTTTTATATTCTGTTTGTTCTGATACTAAATAATGGTGAGAAAACTATTGAGTTGGTTAACTCAGTACTGGACTGCTGACTCCCCTCAAGGATCCTTAAACAAGGATCAAGAAATCTAGCATCTCATGATCACTATGCCCCAGATGGCCTCCAACCTTTATATCCCCCACAAGACCTTATCTGTTAACAAATAGCAGGTCCAGGATTTTGCTTCCCCTTGTCACCAGCTGTGTCAGGAAGTTATCTCCCACACACTCTAGGAACCTCCAGGACTGTTCACTGTCTGCTGTATTATAAATCCAGCTGATGTCTGGGAAGATGAAGTATCCCAGAACAATGGGGAGAGACCTTGAGACTTCACCCAACTGTCTGTAAACTGTCTGTCTGCCTCTTCATCCTGGCTGGGTGGCCTGTAGCAGATTCTCAAGATAATATCAGTCTTGTTGGCCTTCGCTTTTATTCTGACCCACAAGATCTCAACTCTATCATCGCCATCATTAATTTCCATACATTCACATTATTTCTTAACATAGAGGACTGCACCACTGCCTATGCTGCCTTGCCTATCTCTTTTGAAAAGTCAGTAGCCATCCATCACAGGACTCCAGCTGTGTGACTCATTTCACCATGTTTCCATGATGGCTACTATATTCTACTATATACTACTTTCCAACTGTTCAATGGCCTCCAGGTCCTCCTGTTTATTACCCATGCTGCATGGATTAGTGTAAAGGCACCTGAGCTGGGTCTCCTTTTGAGTGGCAGTGGCCCTAATAACCTCATGACCATACTCAGATGTTTCCACAGCCACCAACCTCACACCAACTCTCCAGTTCTTCCTACAAAAGGGTGAGTTGTCCAGGTATTAATCATATTAATTTCCTCATCATTCCCTGCAACTGGAGGTATACAGGAGAACAGAACTTGTGCTCCCAAACCCTTTGCCTATTGCCCCAAGGCTCTGAAGTCCTTTTTCAAAGTCTTTAGGGAAGTTCTTTCTATATTATCATTGTCTACCTGAAACAACAATGGGGGATAGCAATCTGAGGGCTGAACTAGGGAAGGAAGTTTCTTCCTCATGTCATGGGGGTGGGGGTGTAATTGGGCTCACTAGAACAGAGCCTGTATGTCCCAGGAAACAGCAGACCTCTCTGTATAGAGGATCTGGCCTACATATTGGCCCTTCTGCTCCCTTCAGCAGTGAGTCACCAATGATAATGACCTGTCATTTTTTCTTTGCCGATGAGGTTTTAATGCTAAGTGAGGTCTGGTTAGACTTCGGTAACACCACCAACTGGGGAGAACCATTCTCACCACCAAATAATTACACTTCCATTTTTCTTTGAAGTGAAATTAATTGTTTTGTAATATTTACATTTGTAACTTTGCATTCGTAAGGAAAAATGTGAGGGCTGGGCTGGAGGCCGGCTGAAAATCTGGTCTTGCATATTCTGCAAAAAAGTATTACTCAAATTTCTCACAGGTGAATAAACTGCATGCGTGGGTGAATCTAGTTAATTCCATAGTTTAATAAACCTAGAATCCCAATGAGGCTATAACAAATTCCCCTAGTGTCTTGGAGTTATGAGAAAGATGTATAAAATTATATGCAAGCAGAAGAGTTCTTTCTAAATATGAAGAGTTTTTTTTGCGCGTTATATTTTTTTGTTCTATTTGCAATGTGAAATAACTTCTTGTCTGTGGTTACCATGATTAAGTAGTAGATCGTTTATTGTGCGAGGGCAATATCTGGCATCAACATGCATCCAGCCACTTTTTTCTTCTTTGAATAATTTGTTTTTGAAACAGTTTGTAGCATTAAGATAAATGTGTCTGTCTTAACATCCCTCTGAGAAAAATGGTTATTTATGCAAGTGGAAATTTCTGCTGCTTCCTCATCAGAGAGCAGTGCCTTGTCTTAAATTGTGCCATCTTAATAAGTCACTTGTGGATCACAGATCAGAACCCATTCTATAGTTAGAAACACAACAATTGTGTGTTGGCTAGGAGTTATGCATTTCTCGAAACAACTGAAAGCAATGTAACTGCCTAAGTTTTCTGTACAAATGTGAAGTTCTTGGATGGTAAACCTTCCACAATAGAAATATCAAATAGAAAAGGATAATTCCACACTGGGCTCTTTTTGCTGTGTCTTGATGCAGAACCAAAATCCCAGGTTAACATGTTTGTTTGTTTATCTATCTATTTATTCATTTATTTATTGTGAGAGTATTATGTATACGTTTGCTATTTTACTGGCATTCACAGGGACAAGATAGTTCTTCCAAGAAATCTGGAGTTTGTTGGAAAGGATGTATGCATTCAGATGTAAAATAAAGCAACTCCATGTTATCATGGGAAGATCCCACTCTATCCCCAGCAAAAGGAATCTGGTTTTTTTTTGTTTGTTTATAGCTTCTGAATTGAGGAACAGCTTCTGTCTTTATTTTCCACTGAATTCCACTGAATAAGCTGGTAAATGTTAATATCCTCCTCTCTCTAAAAATCTGCATGGATTTTTACAACAATAGTGAAACAAAATAGCAGAAACTGGCCTTCAAAATTTTCAATTAGTTAAGATCTTTGGAATTCAGATGGAAAAAGAATGAAGCTGAAGGAAATGATGGTCAATAACTTTCCACTGAATGAACTCCGAAAATCATAGTTTTATTAATAGGTGAGAGAGGATAAAATGCACAAAATAGTAGCTAAATTTCTGGGAAGCCATATACTCTGTACTAGTTTACAAGATCATAACTACGTGAAATTGGAATGAAACTGAATTGATTACAATCTGATATTTGCTACACTTCAGCACTGCTGGCAGAATCTCATCCATCTAACTAAACGTGCATAACATGCTTTCTTAGCACTTTCACAAAGTCTTGAGTTCGTAATGGCAGTTTAAGTGCATCTTTTCCTATTATTACACAACACAAATTTGGTCTGTGCTAATAAAACTTAAGAAAAATTAAAATACACATTTTAATATTAGAAGTCTATTTAATTATAGCTAATGCCTTTACCTGTGTTAGCACCTATATTTTTCATTAAGTCTGCATTATAATTTTCCATTTATTATTGAGAACATTCTTTTAATGTATACCTGTAATCTGACGTAGACCATGGCTAGTAGACACCCAAGCTCTAAATTTGTCTTATCATTCTTATCGTAGCCCACCCACCAAAAGAGAATTCTGGTGTGAGCAGTAAACATTCTACATGGAAGGTCAAGGTGACAACCTCTGTGTTGCAGTGAATTTGCAGTGAATCTGAATTGCTGCAGTCATCGGAATCTTTAAGAAATGAAGGCCTGCTGTGTCTGCCTATTTCTTGAGAGTAAGTACTGGCCTGAAAAACATTCCTCAGCAAAAGAGCTTATCCAAGAAGGCAGTGCCCTAAATTCTGCTGGCTCACCGGCAACCAGGTAAAATTTATTTCTCTCAGGAATTTTTTTTTTTTTTTTTTTGCTAATTAACTGTTTTCTAGATGAGGTGATTATGTTGGTAAACTATTTAAAGCCATTATGATGAAAATTGCCAGGAAATGAATTCACACAATCTTGGTGCCTCTTGATTTATTTATTTATTTATTTTTTCCAGGGCTTTGAAACACTGCTGAGGTTTTGGCTTACCTATCTTTTCTTGCTATTAATTTCTGTCACACTCAGTAATTGACCTAATAAAGGCAAAGGCAAGAATTTATTATACCCTGGGCAATACTTAACATCAACTTTATTTGCTGGAGCAGCGCTTCTAATCTACAAGCTGCTGTATGTTTTGACAGTCCTTCTAAATATTAAATTTGACTCTATTAAATGTTGAATCTTATGTTTTTGATTGCTGCTGTTTTTGCAGTTTCTAAGGCAGACTAGTGCATATATAAACGTATCATTTTAATGAAGCTTTTGGAGAAACAAGTTAAGCTGTAGCTGTATCTATTTTGTTACTGCCAAAATCCATGAAAACTCTGATATAAAGACTAGTTTCAGTAATGCTTTGTGAATTAGTTTGAAATAATTCCTGTGATGTCTTGAGAGAACAAAGATGAGAACTATTCAACTTTTCATACCCCTCCCACGCTTAGGATTTGATGAAATTTTCCTTAGGCAAGTTTGTTTAAAATGGTTTGCAGAAATACAGCAAAAATTAAAACCAGATTAGATTTTCATGCAGTGATCTTCACTGTTGAATCTGTTTTTCTACCATGTATCAGACGGTACAATCATCTATCATCCCCAGAAAAGGTCTGAAGAAATAGTACTACATGATCCTGGAATTGTTTATGCAGGAATTTTTATTCTTGGAAATCTTTCAGTGTTAAAGCAACAAGAAAACATATAGAATGTCCTTTGGTGGAATCTTATTACACTCGTTATATATGTAAACTGATATTCTTTGATGCCAGCACGTTGCCCATACAGAGAAATCTCTGCACAATTAAATGAAAGGTAAAAGCAAAGGACTAAATAAAAAGTAATTTTTCTCTTATCTGATTAGAATTAAATACATTAACAAATTGTCTGGTAACACAAATAGGCAATAATACAAAAAATCTACATTGTACATTATTTCAAGAAAAATAACTTCATTTGAATACAAAAGGATAAATACACTTTTTGTCCTATAGCCACTCTTGTACAGTAGGTGAACACGGCATCGTACTGATGCGGTGCTGCTAAGGTATACAAGGATATGACTGGCTTGAGTTTTATTGAGGGGGCTGTTACACATGTGCATCACTAACATCAGACAAAGAAATCTTTCAACCAACAAGGGTTACAGAGCAACGTTCACTAAAGCACAGGTTGGAGAGGATTCGGGGACTGAAGCAGGCCAATATGGCAGCTTTTACAGATTTCCTTATACCCACAATGCACTGACAGCAAAGAATGCCTTTATTTGGTTGGTCCACACACTGGGCGGAGGTACAGCAGCGCACCAGAGAGGAGTAGCAAATGTTTTTCGTTTCCCTTCCCGTTTTGGGGCTGTCCAAGCTGTTTGTCCTCTGTGAGCCTGGCAGCCAGCACTGATTGGGCAGAGCAGGAGCTGCCAGCCCATCTCCGGTTGTGGTGAGCAGTCTTGACTCAGAGTGCCGTCCATAACTGATTAATATGGCTTAGTTCAGTTAGGCCTTCCAAGTTTGTATGTGTTATTTTTTTCATTCTTTTTCCTTTTTGAGATTTCAGTAGCAAACACTTGGATTTTGTTTTGTTTTCATGTGGCATGTTCTTTTGAAGCAGTCCAAATACAATGCCATCGACCAAACAAAGCCTAGCACATGTGAAGTCTGGCTGCTCCTAGTAGGGCCATCAGCAGTAATAAGGGACTGTGGGATATCGCCCCCTGGGTGGAGCTTTGGCTGCAGCCTCCTGGATCTCGTTCACACTTAAGCTTCTCACATAAGATGCCAGTGTAGGCTGGAGGGCACTGGCACCGCACGTTGTTGATGCATGTCCCTCCATTCTGGCAGTGCAGGAGCTCATTGTCGCACACATTTGCTGCAAGACAGCAGGGGAGGGAGCAAGAGAAAAGCAGAATAAATACCAGTTCATCTACAGGAAAAGTCTGCATGGAAAGCAAAATTAAAATGCCGTGGCTCATCTCACACCTCCCTCCTCTTCCTGAGACATGGGAACAGGGGAAACAATCTGGTTTTTTAAACACTTCACATTGGAATTTTGGTATTTTATTTGCTAGTTTTCCATCTTTTCTAATCAGTAGTCTTGGGGAAACTTATCGTTCACTTCAGACCATTGAATATTAATGAAATAATATTAATAATGAATTAATAATGAATTATGTATATTAATACCCGCTTTGTGCCAGTGTCTGCGTTTTTATAGTTTCTACTAAAGTGGAACTGTAGGGATGCTGTTACTTGAAATGGACAAGGTATCCAAAGCATTTGGGCAATGCAAACAGTGTAAAAAATGCAACGTGGCTTTACTAAAGTGAAAAGATCTGTATGAGAAGGCAAGACTTTATAACCAAGAACTGTGCTTATCAATGATCTGAATAAAAATATGCAAAAAAGATAAGGCAAGCGCAGGCAGGATAATCAGCATGCTATCCAATGGGGATTTTATGCTATGTGCATATGGAAATAAAAGATAGTTATTTCCATTACAGATCAAATATTTCTTCTTAATTAGATTTGCTACTTTGGTACAAGGGGTAACTGGCAACTCAAAACTATCTTGGTTAGACATTGTAGCCCAATAGAATGACTTCAGAAGCCAGATTTGACAAAAGATTTGAGAGAAAATAACACAGGCAGCAGCTACATAGTATTTTCTATTTGAAAATCTGGCAGCTTTGTTTTTTTAAACTATCAAAATATTTCATTTGTTAAATATGTAGAGACAAGAGGAACATAGTACTTGAATGTGCCAATCTGCTTTATTTTGGAGAACAACAATGGTAAAATATGTCCTATGTATACAGCTCTGTCTTCCACAGGAGTGTTAATTTTAGTAAAGATTTGCACCTCCTATTTAAGCAGGATGTGACAGAAGACACTTTCCCTCAGGGAACTAGAGAACGGTTTGGTTGAGACAGTCTCAGCATTATATGCTGTTTATACATATATTAGCCTGGAAATAACCTTAATAATTCAGACTAAGGGAAAATTATTCTTAATTTCACTTAAAGCATTCTATTTAGCTCTACAAAATTGTGTATAGCAGCTTTATAGATGTTAATTTCTTTTTTTTTTAAAAATGCAGTATTATCAGAACTAAAATCCAAACAGCCCAAGCCCTCAAGTGATGCTGTTCTACATAAATCTGTATAATTTTGTGTTCTCAGAATATTACTGGCAATGTTTTATGTCCAGGCCTTCATTCCAATAAAGAAAAATTCTCTGGACTTTGGAAGGACACTGAGAAAGGGTTTTCTAATGTTCTGCATCCATGTGAGCCAAATAATAACACAATGTTAGAAACTTACACAGATCTAATTGAGAGAGAGCAGCTAAACGATCTGTCTCAGTGATACTGTCAATAATCAAAGCCCCTTTCTGAGAGCTCTGGATTAAAATTTTTTGTCCTGTTTCTGAACTGCCATGTCAGGATCTGGATACTAAGGTACCAGGAAGGTGATAGATGTATGTCTGCATTTGAATGTTCTCTTATATTCACTGTAACAGTGTTTATTGTGTACAAGAAATAATAAATCATCACCAAATAAGTATGGTGAGCTTAACAACCTAGAAAAATACTATGATAACAGGCCAAAAAAAAGTTTTTTGAAAACCTATATTTGAGGTATATAGCCTCAATCACAACAGTTATGTAGTTAATGCTGACCTTGTTATTCAGGCTTCATATTCAATTTTCATATAGGTAAATATATGTAATAATAATAAGAAAAATTGACAGTACGTTTACTGTACCTATTTGCTCTGGACTACTCATTGCAAATTAGGTGGCAAAAATGGTGAAATGTCTGTTCCACCAGTACTGACCATTGTTTGCCTTGATTAATTGAAAGAAAATCGATAGTCAATTAAATACTGCTTTTTAAATGGTAGATATTTCACTTCATGTTTGTCCCTGAATATATTATCTGTCTTTTTCTGAGTATTTGCCAAAAACAAATTTGTTTTCCAATAACTTTACAGTTATCTTGCCAATCATAGCTTTTTATCTAGGAGGCCATCCACCCAGATGCTGGTTGTCGTGTTACAGAGTGCTGGATGTGGGTGACTGATGTGGCTCTGTGCTCCATGAGGGCTGCTCTGCCTTACACACTGATGCAGGGTGATATAAAATCCCTGTGTAATTATTGTTGCCTACAAAATACTGGATACAGAGTTACAGATGTGAAGTTTTAAATTCAGACTGTTAATATATTATTAAAAAGCTTTCTTTCAAGTACTTAAGGAATGAACCAAAAAACTTAAGTATTTTATGCATAGAAGTTTGCCTGCAGAAATGCATTAGGGTAAATACAGTAGAGTTTAATGTTCTTAGTACTTGCAGCTGGAAATTTTTCAGCTGTTAGTCTTGTATTGTCAAAGATTTCTTTAGTTTTTCACTTGTACCCATGTGTATGTATCATGTAGGTAACAAATGCAGCCATTTGGAAGGGAAACAAATCTGAAATGGAATCTTCCTCCCTGTCTTCCCCCCCCTCACCTTCTGGACGGCCTGGTGAGGATTATATTTAAGACCTAAATATTAACTACTTCTTATCTAACCATTTTTATGTTTATTTAGCTTAGGATTTGGATTCTCGATCGCTAATGAGTGCAACACATCAGCAGTATGAAGTACTTTCATTGGAGTGTTTTCACTGAAGTCTAGAATGAAATTTATTCATCAAATAAAACAAGTCGACATGCTGCCAAGTATTTTAGGCAAGAATATTAACTGTTGTTTGGAAAATTAATAATGTTTCTAATGTTAATTTGGTATTTTGCTAGGATATGCACTGTAACGTGTATTTCAGAAGCAGCTTTCTGGCTCATTCTGAGGAGGTGGTGATGTGGCATCTGCTGAGCAGAGCAGGGGGAGCCAGGACCTCGGGCTGCCTGCTCTGTGTGGAAGCCCAAGAAGTACTTGTGCGGGCAGGTAGGGCTGATGAAGTCCAGCACACAGGTAACCCTTAGTCTTTTCTTTTCCCTGAGCATTGAGCCTGAAAACACGGGGCTTTTCTGCACTCTGCATCCCTCCTGCATTCTGTTACATTTGGGCAATGTCCCTGCCCCCTCATAGCAAAACTTTGTCTCCACTGCTGAGAAGTGCTGAACCATCTTTGCCTTACCTTCATTATTGGTTTATGGTTCATTGGTTTATGGTCTAAGCTAAAGTCTGATTATGGAATCCTTAAAAACATTACACAAAGGAGACAGAAAAAAGCCATGTATGAATATGGGGGAAAACCACTGACAACAAACGAGTGTCTTCAACTAGGAGGAGATGGTAATTACTTTTTAAGCTAAACTTACATGTCTTTTCCAAAATATTCATTAATAAGTTATTGAAGCTCCTTTTGTAGGATAAGGCCTTTATAAGTACTGTATGATGATTTAGCTCAGTTTACAAAAATATTTGCAGGAAACTATTTGATTTGTAAGTCTAATGTCATTAAATATGCAAATGGAATAAAAAAGGGAAATAATGGGAAGAAAACCTAGTCTTTCCACTAGTTTAAGCTGTTCAAGAAGTAATTGATACGTGTTTCTGAGAATTTTTTAGGTATCTAATGAAATATATTGAGTAGTGTAGATGTTTGACATCTACTTTCCTCTTAAAAGTTCGGACACAAATATTACATGATAATTTCTGAGTCTGTCCAAAACTCTATTATCATAACAGCTTCTTGGAAAAAAAAAGGGAGATTATATTAGGACTGATTTTAGCTATGAAGCTAAAGTGTAGACACAGTAATACAAATGCAAGCCATGTTCTTTCTGATCTGGAGTGTCACCTCGGACATAGCATTGCACTGGTGGCTGACGTTCTTTCCGTCTACTGTCTTGGGTTTTTCAGAGCACATGCAAGGGTTTTGGTCTGACTGCTGCTCAGATAAGAAAAAAAATGCCATAATGGGTTTAAGACTAATTTCTTTTAGCCTCTTATCCTTCAGGGAGGCCATTAAAGAGAGGAGAAAGTATATTTTGTACCTTGCTTTGTACTACCTTTGTTTTGGTTCAGCTTGCCTACAGTAGCATCATATACAGGTGGGTCAGCCAAACAAACATGAGGAAGGATGGAACACTCACTTAAAAAACAAGCAGACAAAAACCCCAAACCAAAACAATTTTTTTGATCTGAGATACACGGCATTCCTTTTCTCGTCACAGTCAGGACTGATTTTGAAATGTTTGTTGTTTGTAGAAACAGCATAAAGATCATTAACAGTGAAATTGAAGAAATATATCTTTTTATTCGAAGTCCTTTTTATTTTATTGAGAATTCTTAACCCTTTCATTACAAGCAGTGTTTTTTTTAGATCTCTCCCACCACTATTTTTCTTCATTGCACTTTTTTTTTTTATTATATCATTTCTTACAGCTCCCTTCTTTCAACTCTCTCTATACTTGTACTTTTCATCTTATGGAGCCTGCGTCTTATAGGATTTGGACATGTCGATGGGTTCATCTCTTAGTATATTACACAGTTTGGTCTATTCTAGAGAACTGCCACAGGTTTTTGCTCTATTTCTGATGCAGTGAATTTTCCTTACTGTTCCTCTGTAATTTGTATGAATGGTGCTACCAAAATCATGAGAATTTTTGGAATGGATTTCAGCCATCCTTAATAACTGAAAGCATGCAGGCCTAGTGGCTGAAGAAAAAATGGGCATTATTCTTTAAAAATATAATCATTTAAACAGTTTTAAAACAAAGCAAAACAACAGCCCCTTCTTCCTTCTCCCTCCAGAACAAAAAAAATATACATATATTTAAAAAAAAAAAACAAACAACGAAACAACAAAACCGAACAACTGCAACAAAAAAGGAAGCTTGTTTATAGCTAGGAATATTGCCACC